AGCGATTTTACCTGGTTTTCGAATTTTCTTTCCCCCAAACCAGGTAAAATCGCTTCCTAACGGCTTCAAACTCCCGGGGGGGGGGCACTCGACCCCGTTTTGGATAGGTACGTTCCGCCAGCGGTCTAAATCCCTGACCCTGTTTAAGACACTAAAAAGTAAAAATCCATACCCTGTTCAAGACAAATCGGAAAAATAAGGAATAGCTATCTACGCCGCAACCATCAAAACTGCAATTATACTCCATCAAAGACAATAAGAAGTTTTTGATAACACGTTAATTCTGGGACAGTGAAACGGTATTTCTACGGTGTTATGAAAATATTACCCTGTCCAAGACACACACAAAAATTATATCGGTCTCTTTTATCTAAATTGTAGAGTCTGTTTAAGACAATTTCGGGTGAAATGTATACCCTGTTTAAGACAGCAAGGCCAAAAACCATACCCTGGCCAGYGGYACGTCCCCGTATAGCAAATATATGGGAGTACCCCCCCCGGGTTCAAACTCCGCCAAATGATAAAAGAGACAACAAGTTATCAAGGGGAGTCATTTTTATTCTTAAAAACACAAACTTAAAGAAATCAAATTTTGACGGTTGAAGTCACATACAAATATTATGTAATGAGCTTGGGTTGCCTGTGCTTAAGAAAGCAGTTTTCTTTTTCAGAAAAAAAGCGAAAGGAAAAATACGTTCTGYAACGAAGTCATTCTGAGTAGCTCTAGAAATAATCCCTTGCGCCCGTCGCAATGTATATTCTTTGTAAACGCTCGAAAACTTGCATTATTTAAAAATAAAGTAAATCGTGGTGATTTCGCAATTATTAGTGACGCAAATTTGAATGAGGCAATTCAAAATGGTGGATAAAATTGTCTGATTTCGGTGCTAAAAGTCTCGGAAACAATCACGGTTTTCACAATAACCTTTGGTCTCTGAAACAAGGTACTCTTAAAACCTTATGATATCTTAATATGAAAAATATGACGTTGCGACAACAATGGTAAAAGGAGACTTGCTAWTTGAACTCGCCARCATCTAAATTTCCAGCATTTTTGCCAGAGTSYAGATTGTAGCTATGTCGATATAGCTAGCCACTTGAGCTTATTATGGCACAACCTTTAGGCCTTATTACATTGTCTATAGCTTATCAGTATTTCTTGAAAATTATAAACCAAAATAGCAAGAATACTCCGTCGTTACCGATAGTCAATGATAACAAGTCATGAGATATCAGGGCTTGCAGACGGCTAAGACAATACCAYAGAACATGCCAAAAATTTTCATTAAAACTGTACTATTTAGCAGTACTTTTAACTCAGTCTTCAGCATTATATTTTAGAAATTTAGTTTAAAAACGCATTATTTTGCAGGGTGACTCCGACAAAGTGAGGGGGCTGTCATCAATCGATCAGCTAACAGCGCTAAGTAATAAAAACAAACGATAAAGATTACTTTTATTGCCTCCGAAYTAAAGCTCAAATTGGAGTTTTTATATACGGCTATAGACCGCAGTCCTCCCAGCTTAATTACTTAATATAATACTCCAGTTCCGAGATCTTATTTGCAGCCTTTTTAACCTCGAAAATTGATATTTTCACTAGTGAAAGTAACACTTTCGAGGTTTCTCTATATAGTGGAAGTAAGAAAAAAAAAGGTATTTTACGCGACATAATTTGCTTTTATATGTAATTATATGATAAACAGAATATTACATGTTCCGCTTGGAGATACGAATTTTATCTTCTCGTGTTGAAAATCTCTTGCTACGCTCACTCGTGAGAGATCTTTTCAACACTCGAAGATAAAATTCGTATCTCCGTGTGCCCATGTAATATCCTCTATTTATTCAGCAGAGATTCTACTGTAATGCAAACACTGTGTGTACAAAGAAGGCAATAAAACTTTATACTTGATTGAAACTAAGCTTGCACAGAAGAGAATTAGGTTCTGTTTTACATTAGGGTGGCCTTAGGTGTAGAGCCAAACTCTTTTGTTTTCAATCCTCCAAGGAAAAGGAATAGAAAACAAAGGAGTTAGCCCTACCACGTAGGGGCACCCTATCTCATGTAAACAGGGCCTTAGAATCTGGAGTATTGCACAATGAACTAAACCGTATATATATATATAGTGTAGCCATTAATATTAATAATGGAAAATGATGTAACGAAAAAGAAGTAAATTTGTAGTTTTTAACGCGACTTTGTGGTCTGTTATTGGGTTGATAAGGCCTACTACCATATCAAGTTTTCAGCCTTTTGATACAGACTATTAATGTATCCTGATGTAACCGCTACGAAATGATCCGGTCCCGGAAATCAATTCCGTTATTACGGAAACTAACTTTTGTTTTAGCGAGGACGTCCGTTATTTCCGCAAGACATTATTATGAAAATTACAACACGTATGATAAGGGAAATTGGTGGACTCTCAGAACAATTCTCTTCAAGCAAATGGCGAATAATGAGTAGAAAATGCTTGAGCTATTTGCAATAATTGGGTCACATGATACGGTGTAAAGAAACAAGCCTAAAATCGATGAATCGCTTTCAATTTTACCGCAAAATTGCAGAGTCGGCAGAAAACTGTGGTGGCGATAAATAATAATATTCTATGTCCTTCTAACTTAGGATTTCCGTCGGTGGTAATGCCATTCAGCTTCACGTGTATTCAGTGCCGTCCAAGTATCTCATTAGCTCGAAGACATGCAACGGGCAGTTAGGCCTATGGCGGCATTAGGATAAAGCGATAATTGCAGAAAAAATCTAGATATGATTCTGGTGAATTATAAATGAATGTACGACTTTTTTCATCATTAATTGATATTAATTAGAAGTAATTATATTCGATGTTATATACTATACTGACCTTAATAATTCACCAACTTATTCAGCAGTCTCTTACAGTTGTGTGACAGTAGCTGCGATGTTCCGCTTTGCTCCTACTAAACTCCAGCCAACCAGCTAGCCTAGAAAAAGGAATAGATAGATAGATTAATCAATTTAGGTACCCATCCAGTCCGAATTTAGGATCGTATAGCCATCCAAAGCGGCCTGAAATTAACACTCGAAGATCAATTTAATGAGAGTCAGACTGCTCATAAAAACATATTGGATTCGAACTTCAACACTACATTTACTGAAATCTAAATAGCAAAGAGAATGTTGTACTTACGTGTATTAAATGAGTGCTATTTTACTGAAGCCGGGCCTTGCTTCGTCRAGCCAAGCAACAAACCACAACAAAGACTTAGCGAAGCGTCACGTCTGTGACTAGGATTAATATATGCGGCTGTTCTTCTTTTGTTTATAATCACAAACACGACATGAATCTATGAAGTCGATCAATAACYGTTTGTATGTCGCCCAGACATTTTTCATTCATCCATATGGCGAACAGAGAAGAGTCTTGTGATTTCTTGTTTTGGGTTTTGAATACACTTAAAAAATCAAAGGTAATCCAATATGGGACACTTACTTCCGTGTTTCGTGTCAACCCAATCACATCACGCCATTGAATAGCTGTTGTAACGCAACTGAAACAGAGTAAGCGAACGGGTAGATTTACCAAAAGCGGGGGACAGGGAACACGCCACTAAGAACGCCTGCGTGGAGACTACAAAATGACCTGATAATTGTGAAATTAAACACCGCCTTGGGAGGTTGCCGACCAGTCAAAACTTATCTGTCTGCCCTACTCCCATATATTTGCTATACGGGGACGTGCCGCTGGCCAGGGTATGGTTTTTGGCCTTGCTGTCTTAAACAGGGTATACATTTCACCCAAAATTGTCTTAAACAGGCTCTACAATTTACATAAAAGAGACCGATATAATTTTTTTGTGTGTCTTGGACAGGGTAATATTTTCATAACACCGTAGAAATACCGTTTCACTGTCCCAGAATTAACGTGTTATCGCAAACTTCTTATTGTCTTTGATGGATGTCAGTACATTTGCATTTTTGATGGTTGCGGTGTAGATAGCTATTCCTTATTTTTCTGATTTGTCTTGAACAGGGTATGGATTTTTACTTTTTAGTGTCTTAAACAGGGTCAGGGATTTAGACCGCTGGCGGCACGTACCTATCCAAAATGGGGTCGAGTGCCCCCCCCGGGTCTGTCTGTCAGCTGATCTTGCGCATGGCTGTTTATCTCTCGTGACTGACCAAAAGTTTAGGTACAAGGACAACGACAATTGCTCTATTTCATCTTGTCACAGCATGGCAAAGCTTTTAAAAAAAGCTCAAAAATTCCTGTCATAGGACTTGGTTTCCTGTTATAAATACAGAGATTATATAAAGCACTGTCTTCATCACAATATAAATCATTGGTGTATTTTATWTTGAGTTAAGTACAAGTTACTGAACGATTTTGGTCTATGAGGTAGGGAGGGAGACCCAGGGAGGGTGGGGCGGATGGGGGAAGGGGTTAAGGGATGAAGGGGAGGAGGTGGCCGCTTATATACCCCCGACCCCAAAGAGTTTATAAACAAATTAAAATCAACAACATGATATAACATAATATATATTATTTCTTAACTACTGCCTAAACACCATTTGAAGCTAAAAAATCTCTATATCCACGTAAATATTTACATCATTCAACTGAAATAATTTTATCGAGATTAGCATGCTAAGTATTTCGACTCTTAGGCCCATTTCAGGCGTCGATCTTTTGTCTAATCAAATTGTTGGAGTTATGTTTATGAGCATTTCGTACTCTGAATTTATTTACATTTGTAGACTTTGTTCAGTTGGACAAACTTACTATAATCCGTAAAYATCAATTGAAGTATACAGCAAACTTCTCGCGAACTGCATATGCAAGCAATTAGATTAGACGCGTCAAAAGATCGACGTCTGAAACAGGCCTTTACACGCAATGTCAAAACGGTCTAAGAATCTTTTTCAGAAAAAATATAAAACTGAAATTGAAAACATAAAAATAATCATAATTATATCTTTGCGCATACAAATATGCTAACGAGAAGCTCTATTTCAGTTTGTGTGCATTTGTAGTTCAATCATTTCACGATTGACATAAATTGGTTCATCGACTGAGGAGGCGCCAGATTGTTCAAAAGTAGGATCATTTACGACCTGTAGTCTATAGTTCTGATTTTCGCCGTCCATTGCCATGGCGACAAACTCCTGGTTCTCGTAGATCTCCTCTTGATCTGTCACTTGCCTATCTTGTTCTTCCTCTATGTGGATTGTTGGTATTTCATTGCCAACATGCACTTCATTAATCGGTGAAGATTCAAAATGATCGTTCACAAATCCAAAATTCTCTTCATTGTGCACAACTGTAGTAGTTGTCACATCCAGTCCTTCCTCTTCCAATCTTGACCTCCTATTAGGTAAAGGACTGGGTACGAAGACAATACTCTCTTTGGAGTTTGTCCGCACAAGTGTGCTAGTGTCTCTTTTGTTTGGGATGTATTCGTTTTTAGCGTGTTCTTTCGCGTCTGTTGATCTTCTCTGTCGTTCAAGGTCGTCGGTGGCGATGTAGTTTTCAACGGTTTTTTTCAGCCGTTTGTACTTTTTGCAAAAAAGTATCAGTAATGCGAGTATTATAAGTTGACAGACCAACAACCCAACGACTAAATACAAAGTAACGTCCGTTTGGAGCGACATCGTGCAGTTGTTGGGATACCTGCAAGACATGCATAACATATCATTACTATACACTGGAAAAAATCGCGCGCTTTTAAAGGTTGTAAATTTGATGTATATATGATGTAAGTGTCCAAAATGATGTAAATTTGATGTAAATCATTTCCATCAAATTTCCATCATTTTGGACACTTACATCATATTTCCATCAAATTTACAACCTTTATGCCGCGCCGATTTTTTCCAGTGATATGATAAACATTGGGACTCATTTAGACCCTAAAGACATTTTACCGTGGCAATTTTTGGGGCCATTTATTCAGTACACAGAGATGAATGTCTCCTCAGAAGGAGAAGACAAAATCTATGATATTTTTTGGAAATCGCTTGAAAAATTGCAGCAAAAACCAGAAAAAATTACCAGTGTATATAAAAAGTGAGTTTCATGGATAATAAACTACACTTTAAGACTATACACTTTATATTGCGCAAGTTTTTTGTCGTTATTTCCGAGTATTTCAAAATAAGACTAGTACGGCCTGTTCATTAATTGCGAAATTGAACTGACTGTTTCACTCTATCAATCTGTTATCAATACAGTTGCCATCTTAAAAATTCTTGAATGATTAGTCGAAGCCACGGGGTGTCCGATGGGAAAATGAGGATTTCAAATTCTTATTTGAACTTACAGTAATTGTCTTAATTGTACGATCAAGTTGGCTCYAAAGTTGGCAAGATTTGTACGATTTTATAATTGGSTTTGATTATTGCTTCAAAACGTAACACTTAAATCSAGTTTTTGACGATTCACATTTGAGGYAACTATTTCAAACTAAAARAARKT